GTGCATTCCTATAATGTGTGACCTGTGAAGATCCCGGTTAGAATTGATCTTCAGTAACCCATGCTTGTCGTAAGAGGTGACTAACGGGACCGGGTGGTCAGGTTTGCTGACTTGGTTGACACATGTCATCGGTTCTCAATTGCGTAGATCCATGCTCATGATGTTGATCACTGGATTGTCTGGTCCAGACTTGATTATTTACAGACTGCCACCATATAGCTGGAATATTGCTGAGAGTGGCATTAAAAAAAAAGCAAAAAACAAACAGTAGATCGAGCATCTGCCCAGAGAAAGGAAGTTTGGTGGTTTGTTCCCCAGTGCTCCAGATAGATGCCATATTGGCATATCGTGTAGAAGAACACCAATGAAATAGGGATGGATTGCAAATTACAGCTGTCTCAAATAACCAAAAACACAATAATATACTCTCTTATGATTAATTGTTTTGGTACCTTGTCTAATAATATCACCAGAATACTCGTCAAAAAACCTGAAACCTTTGATTAACATATGAGGCTTTGCCTTCAGCTGACATGGAAGATTGGTTTCGTGTCAGCAGCAAAATGATTTTTTCCTGTCTTTCCATTGGCTATTGAAGCACTTGAATTCTCTCATCTCAGTAATGTTAAGTTTAAAAGGGGGATATTATGGCTATCAACTTCTGTAATGTGAGGAATGGGATGTTTCTGCTAATGAAGGATTTACAATATACTCCAAAACATCAAGTTCCTCAAATTACAGAAGTTGACATCATTAAATTCCCCCCATTTATGTGTATCGCTTCTAACTGCCATTCAGAGACTTTAATGGTTATGTACTTTGGCGCCAAAATCCAAATTTACAACAATTGAGGTTGTCAATTCTAAAAACTTGCAGTTTGGTACTTATTGGTTTGAAAAGATGTATTTATAAATAGCCAGTTCTGATAATAACAGGTACTGTTATCTTTAGCACTGCAAGCTGTGTCACGCCGAAAGGCACTAAAAATGGTATTTATTCTAACCCTGCCCCTCAGCATTAATGGGATAAAATAATGGCATTGGAATAGTGTCCAAGTTCAACTGTTTCTTGGTAATTCAGTGGGCTGGCAGTGGCACTTTAAGGCTGACTTTAGTCCTGAACAATACAAGCAGAAGCCATCTTCCGAAGGCAAGGGAGGTAACTGACTGCAAAAATCTGATGGTTATTCTGAGTTATTCCCAACACTTGTCTCTCATACTGACCAATCAGATTCCACCTCTCACACTCTTACATTTTCTTCAAACAAAAAGGAAGCACGGAGTCGAGACTATCTGATTGGTAAATTATGTTCCCTCATGCAGTGTTTTGTCTTGCTTGATTAAGATTTTGCAAATATCTGGTTAAAAAAGCCCTGTCAATGGTTCACATGTTCTGCAAATCCTGAAATGAACAGAATGTTGATTTTGTTACACAATTTTGACAGGACTATGCATTGACTCAATAGTCCAGCCGAAATATAATTCCGTAATTCCAGCCAATTACTTTTAAGGTAATTAAACTCCCTTGCTGAGGAAGATAAGCAGATAGATGTTTAAGTTCACCTTCACGTGGATATTGACAGGTGAACCAGGAAGTAGTGTGACACACATAGGACAGACATACCCATGGCTTGTTCAGCATTGCTCTCTCTACTTTCTGAATCAAGTTGATTTGTTTTACTGGATTTATCCACTGCACAGCTGGTGAAACATTTTCAGGAAGGCGTTCTCTCTTGGTTTGGTGAGTAAGGACTTACTTTTCCATGGTATCAGTTTAATTTGGAGATACCAGGGCTTTTGTATGTGTACAAAGGTGATTTATTTCCTGGTTTGAAAAGTTAGATTTAGGTTAGGTAGATGAATATTTGCAATAATTAATTAATTTAGTCATTATTTTGATTTTTAATGGTCAATTTCAATACATTTGGAGGGAATTGAATATTTATCTTATCATTCAGGAATTATGATTTTATAAATTTGGGTCTCTTGTGTCAAGCTTTTCCAAATATTTGTATGCCTTCAATGATATATGTAAGTATTTCAGTATGAAACGCTGTTGCTGTTGCGGATGCTGTTATATACTTGCAACAAAAAGTAACAGAACTACTTATTTGAATGTAGCTATCTTTGAGGTGTGCATGTCATTACTGTGGCTATACATCAGAATGCAGTGTGCAATCACAATGACCTTTGACATTATGCATTATCAGTACATGATCACATGCACATGCGCATAAAACTGAACTGTGTGCACCTATTGCGAGACTTAAATCACTAATGCAGTTGAGCTGATCGCTCATTTAAAAAAGTTCTGAGACTTATCACAAATATATGGGCCTGGCTGGCCTAAGCAATACTACATCTAGACAAGATCGTCTTATTACATAAATTCCAATGCGTAATAGATTCAAATCTGTTCCTGTTGTCAAGGGGAACTTCAGTTCAATAAGATGTAGGCGAATTTCAACATCTTCCCTTTAAAAACGTTTATATGCACCCCCTGAACAGTTTACCAAAAGCGTCAACGATTAGTGTGGGCTATGCAACACAAGGGACAGACTGTACACCTATGGCTTTACACTGTTTACAGACTAGTCATGGTTTGGCCGCTGATTCACAGAAGGCTGCAACATTCCTGACCTACCAGCATTTGGCATGTCATCACTACAATTTTCTTTGTTACTTATTCAACCCCACCCCCCCCCCACCCCCCTCAGTAGTGTTAAAGCTGTATTACAGTGGTCTGTAAATAATCCGAGTCTGGACCAGACAACCCAGTGATTGACACCATGAGCATCAACAGATGCATTCAGGATGTTGTTGACATGGGGGCAGTAGTGAGGTGTGGAGTAGTTTCACCCATGACAGGCAAATTTTGTTATTTTGAATGGATTGTCGACCAGCCCATGTGCAAACATTAAAGATGAAGCCTTCCATTGTCAGCGATGTTGCAGGTCACTCCATGCATATATTGGCTGAGTTGATGTATCCTAATGTGCTCGGGACCTGTGAAGATCCTTTTGAGTATAGATAGCAATTTTACTAAGCTCCTATAGGAAGAAGTGAATATGTCTAAAATTTCCAATTAGAGTTACCACTTTTAGCCAAATTAAACCAATAAACATGTAGTTTTTGACGCACTATTTTCAGTTGTTCAAAGCAGGGGTTTCAAAGACTGGTGTTTGTGACAGTGAGGGCTTCCTGAGAATGACTTTGAGATGTGAAACATAATCTCTTCTTTACAAATTTGTCAGATGATCTTACGTTCCCCCTATAGGAACCAGAGCATATATTTTCTTTGTTTGAGGTTTTTCCTGGAAACAGCTACTTTGTGTTGTCCCAGGTATGAAGATCTAGAGCGGAAAGGCTGTTACTTGTTGTTTAGTTTAAAGGAGCGCAATAGAGTGTGGATTACCCCTTTAACAGGGATTGTCCTGATGCATACATCTTATGTATTTGTAGAAATCTGTTTTGAATATACTCAGATTTGTTTTGCTGTTTGGCTGATTTGATACAACAGCAAGTAGGGCTGCGCAAAATAACCGGTTTACTGGTATTTACCGGTTCAGACATTAAAACAATACGTATTGCGATACGCTGATTGAAAACCGGTATTTTGACATGCATTCGGAAAACTTCGTAACACTCGGAAATCTTCGGACATTTCCGTTTTTTTAATTGTTCTTTTCCCTGTTTCATTAGTGCCAAATGTTACTTACATTTTTATTTTGTCATGATTAAAAGTTTTTATAAAAGGTTAATCAATCATAGTGATTTTGTTGTGTTTTTGCTTTATAATCAAGCATTAACTCGATTATAAGTAGTTTTTGTTAAAAAAATAATCCTTGCACTATATTGCAATACATATTGCAATATATGCTTCCGCATCGCAATATATCGCAATATGAAAATTCTCTGCAATACCCACCCCTAACAGCAAGTCATCCGATTCTCTTGATAAGTAATATAAACAGAAACGCAATGACACTTGGATGCCAATAGAGTTGAGTGAGTTAGTGAGTTTAGTTTGACATCGCGTTTAGTAATATTTACGCAACAAAACTCGCTAATTACCAAAACGTATGACGGCGATGGAGTAGCCTAGTGGTTCATTGTGTTTGTTCATTATGCCAAGTAACCAGGTTTGTTTCCCGACCTCAGTACAATATGTCAGTTGCTTATGTTCGTCACATTGATATAATTGGGCAGTCACTTAAATCATCTTTACTCGGCTGTGGATGTTCAGCAAGAGCTCTTGGTGTTGCTAGGTGACTGTTGTGTTTCAGGCTCTATCAGTCTATGTGTCCAGCAAGAGCTCTTGGTGTTGCTAGGTGACTGTTGTGTTTCAGGCTCTATCAGTCTATGTGTCCAGCAAGAGCTCTTGGTGTTGCTAGGTCACTGTTGTGTATCAGGCTCTATCAGTCTATGTGTCCAGCAAGAGCTCTTGGTGTTGCTAGGTCACTGTTGTGTTTCAGGCTCTATCAGTCTATGTGTCCAGCAAGAGCTCTTGGTGTTGCTAGGTCACTGTTGTGTTTCAGGCTCTATCCGTCTATGTGTCCAGCAAGAGCTCTTGGTGTTGCTGGGTCACTGTTGTTTTTCAGGCTCTATCAGTCTATGTGTCCAGCAAGAGCTCTTGGTGTTGCTAGGTCACTGTTGTGTTTCAGGCTCTATCAGTCTATGTGTCCAGCAAGAGCTCTTGGTGTTGCTAGGTCACTGTTGTGTTTCAGGCTCTATCAGCCTATGTGTCCAGCAAGAGCTCTTGGTGTTGCTAGGTCACTGTTGTGTTTCAGGCTCTATCAGTCTATGTGTCCAGCAAGAGCTCTTGGTGTTGCTAGGTCACTGTTGTGTTTCAGGCTCTATCAGTCTATGTGTCCAGCAAGAGCTCTTGGTGTTGCTTGGTCACTGTTGTGTTTCAGGCTCTATCAGTCTATGTGCCCAGCAAGAATTCTTGGTGTTGCCTCATCTTGTTGAGTTATTCACATTCTCACTGTTGTGTTTCAGGCTCTCTACATGCTCAGAAAGAACTCTCGATGTTGCCTCATCCAATTGTGTGGTTGCTAGGAGTGACGCGTGTCATGAGTCTGCACCAAGGACGTTTTGTTCGTGAAGATAATGGATGAAAATGAGGCTAACCTCGGGCAGCCATCATTCCCGAGTGGGAGCGATAGCGCGTCTTTTGGAGAGGGGTCATCGTCGGGGCCAGCATATTGGTATCAAGAGCGGACAGAGGGCTTTGATTATGACTTTGTGCCGACCCCTGACCCCAAGTATGAGTGTGCCATCTGCCTGCTCATCCTGCGAGAACCTCGACAGACCAAATGTGGTCACAGGTTCTGCCGTGGCTGCATCACAAAATGGCTGAGGTAAGTCTTTTTGGGGGGCAAATAAAGAATGAAGAATCATCAATCACCTTTATTGTATGTCATCACACCTTGATTGTATGTCATCGCACCTTTATTGTATGTCATCGCACCTTTATTATATGTCATTGGACCTTTATTATATGACACCGCACCTTTATTGTATGTCACCGCACTTTCACTGCTTGTCATTATACCTTGATTGTATGTCATCACACCTTTTTTGTATGTCATCGCACCTTTATCTTATGTCATCACACCTTGATTGTATGTCATTGCACCTTTATTTTATGTCATCACACCTTGATTGTATGTCATCGCACTTTCATTGCATGTCATCGCACCTTGATTTGCTTGTCATCACCCCTTGATTGCAGATCAATTGATTCCTTATCATCACACCGTGATTGCTTATTATCACACTTTTCTTGGTTGTCATCATACCTTGGTTGCTTGTCATCATACCTTGGTTGCTTGTCATCATACCTTGACACTTGTCATCATACCTTGATCACTTGTAATCATAGCATCTTATCATACCTAATGCTTACAATGTAAATGACTAGTTTGTGTAATCAGTGTTGATTATTTTCAAACCACCTTGATTTACCCGTAATATTACTGATTTTAACAAGAGATAGTGTATTTTTTTTAATGGCCACACATATAGAGAATCTCACCCAAGTGACCACTGATATCAATTATATCAACACGAGTTGACAAAGTTACAAATATCCGAGGCTTGCCGAGGATATTTTTACCTTTATCAACGAGTGTTGATATAATTGATATCAGTAGACACGAGGGTGAGATTCTATTTATCATCAACAATCATTCTTCATTAGTTTTCAGTGAAAAATGTACATCTCTCAACTCTGTACTACCATTAGATTTGCAGTGCAGCGATGTCATAGCATATCATATGATCTCACACAAGCGACATCTCCTGTGGAACACCGTTTTGGATGATGAATGTCTATCCAAGCCAGTTAAATTGGTTTTGGATGTGTTATGTATGTGATACTCTAGATATGATCCCCAAGGTAATTGTCTAAATTTCCCAACTCTCATCCTGACCTCCTCCGTGGTATAGTGGTTAAAGCGTCCGCCCAGAGAGCAGAAGGTCATGGGTTCGATCCCCCGACCGCGTCATACCAAAAGACGTTAAAATATGGTACTTGTTGGTCCCTGCCTGGCGCTCGGCATTAATGGGTACAACAAGTACTGGTCAGCTCGGAGTCAGTATAATGTATCTGTGTGGGGTATTCATGCTTCACTGCGGCATGGTATCTCAGTGGGCTAGCACTATAAAAAACAGCTTCTGTCTGGGCTAGTACAAACAGCCACACATACACATACACACGCATGCACGTCGTCATATGAAGCGAAATATTCTCAAGCACGACGTTAAACCCAATTTCACCTCACCTCACCAAACTCTCATAATATTCTCCAAACAGAGCATTCCAACACATGTGAAACTGACCCTCAACACAGGAGCTGGGGTGTCTGGAATATTTGTATAGGTATACTGCTGTGTCTTTATCTGGAAGTACAGTCAGTGGTTCCGGAGGAACTGGGTCATTGAACTTCCTGTTTGATTTTCTGCATACCCATGTTAGTTGACCCTTCAACAAATGCTGTATCAGCATAAATCATGTGTAAAGTGGGCAGTAGATACTATGACTGTTCTGGATGTTGTGGCTAGTGTTCCTATAGAACACATTTTTATAATAGCTCTTGGTAAGAGGTTTCAGATTTATTTAGTAAGAGGCGAAGGATTTGGAAATTTAAGTGGTATTACAAATAACTTTTTGTAGTTTTCACTCATAAAGGGAAAAAAATGAAACTCCTCTATAAAGGTGCAGGATGTTGAACATCTTTGTAGAAACGTTCTACACTTTCAGAATCTCCCAGCTCATTAGGTTTCCTTTTCACTTTAAATGTAGTTGCTTGTTTCTATCAAAGTTGTATGGTATTTTATCAATGCATTATGCAGTGGAGTCTATGAAAGATTCCATTTTTCTAAATTCATCATCTTCGTCTTTCATCTCCTCATAACTCCGGCTGAAGACTAATGAAGATTTAAGACTGTCCAAACTTTACCGTGACAGTGTTCTCCTGGTATAGACAATTGTATATGTTTATAAATCATAGGAATCTCAAATAGGAATCTCAAATTTTGGACTATAGTCAACTACCTGTGAAGATCTGAGTTAGAATTGATCTTCAGTAACCCATGCTGTCGTAAGAGACGACTAACGGGATCAGGTGGTCAGGCTCGCTGACTTGGTTGAAACGTCATCATATCCCCTAGCGTAGATCGATGCTCAAGCTTTTGATCACTGGATTTTCTAGTCCAAACTCGATTATTTACAGATCGCCGGTATATAGCTGGAATATTGCTGAGTGCAGGGATAAAACTCTCACTCACTCACTCACTCACTCACTCACTCACTCACTCACTCACTCACTCACTCACTCACTCACTCACTCACTCCATTCACTCACTCACTCACAGTTGTACAATAAAGTGACAAAAAAGTTGGTCGAACTTGCTTGTGACATCGGTCTGCACGTGCTTCCACCTGGTGACAGTTTGGTGAACCGATCATGTATGCTTGTTGAATGCCGTAATTCAGGTCTGCACAATGAACCTTTTTTTTGTCCATCCAAAGATTTGCATGTGAATGTGAACATCCTGAGATGAATCGCTCTGATAATTTTAAAGTCGTGTCGGTTCCACCACTAACAGGATGTCATAGGTCTAACATTCTTATTGGCTAAAGTCGTAAAGTCGGTAAGAACTGAAGTGCTGATGTCAAACAGCGAGACGGATGTGACACATTGTGGTTTGTTCTTCTGGGTAGCTGTGATGTTCAGTATCTGGATATTTGATCAATGCTCTGATTGGCTGAGTTGTTTGGGCCAATGGGAAGCCAGGAAGATATTCAGGAAGTGACATACCAGTAAGTTGTAGAATTTATACTGTATTGTTGAAACTTCATGTGCAAGTTGATACCATTAGAATGTGTATGATATGGTGTACTTTTGATGTGAATAAGTATGACATGGAGGCTAGTGGATATAGGTATGACGTGACTTAGTGGATATAGGTATTACATGACATGGAGGCAAGTGGATATAGGTATGACATGGAGGCTAGTGGATACACATATTACATGACATGGAGGCAAGTGGATATAAGTATGACATGACATAGAGGCTAGTGGATATTAGTATGACATGACATAGAGGCTAGTGCATATAAGTATGACATGACATAGAGGCTAGTGGATATTAGTATGAGATGACACAGAGGCTAGTGGATATAAGTATAACATGACATAGAGGCTAGGGAATTTTAGTATGAGATGACACAGAGGCTAGTGGACATAGGTATTACATGACATAGAGGCTAGTGGATATAAGTATTACATGACATAGAGGCTAGTAGATATAAATATGACATGACTTTGAGGCTAGTGAATATAAGTATGACATGACATGGAGGATTGTGAATATAAGTAAGACATGACATAGAGGCTAGTGGATATAAGTATGACATGACACAGAGGCAAGTGGATATAAGTATAATATGACATGGAGGCTAGTGGATATGGTTGAATTGCATGACATGAAAGCCATCGAATAAAAGTAATGCATGACAATGAGGCCAATGAATATGATGCGTATTAAATGAAATGGAAGTCTGCTTATAAATAAGAATTATGATGTAGAAGCAATGGATATGACAAGTACATGGCATGTAAAAGAGTGCATGCCATTTAAAGATTTATCACATGGATTCCATTTAGTGTATGCATTGCGATGATATTGGAGCCCATCGATCGTCATGGGTTGGCCCTTTGGCCTTTATTGTCTGGTTTATGGCCCTCCCAAATGCTGACAAAATGAGAATAATTATATTTATGTCATAGTGCAGTGTTAACAGTGTGTGTGTGTGTGTCTGTGTGTGTGTGAGAAAGACTTTTGCCATGCCGTCATGAATATTTATGCATTTTTATGAACTTATGAGCTGTCCATTTTATCTATTAGAGGGGGATGGGATTTGCTGAAAAAATAAATTTTCCTGGGATGTGATTAAACAGAATATTTAAGCTGTGTCTTTTTGTCCTAGCTGTCTTCCTTCCTGTCTCAGCTTTTGTTTCATTTCAATCAGGAAGCTGAGAAACATCATTGGTGTGCAGCACACCGGCTGTCAGGCAGGTGCTTGCCTCTTTGAATGTTTTACATTATTGCTTGACAGGTGAAGTCATCACCTGTCCCCGTTGTCCCTGTCTTCTACTGACATTGTCCAGTCTTCCACTGTCTCTGTCATCATCCCTGTCATCAACTATCACCATCATTGTCCCTGCCATCAACTGTTTCCATCATTGTTCCTGCCATCAACTGTCTCCAGCATAGTCCCTGTCATCAACTGTCTCCATCATTGTCCCTGCCATCAACTGTCTCCATCATAGTCCCTGTCATCAACTTTCTCCATCATATTCCCTGTCATCAACTGCCTCCATCATTGTCCCTGCCATCAACTGTCTCCATCATAGTCCCTGTCATCAACTATCTCCATCATAGTTCCTGTCATCAACTGTCTCCATCATAGTCCCTGTCATCAACTGTCTCCATCATTATCCCTGTCATCAACTGTCTTCATCATAGTCCCTGTCATCTCCTGTCTCCATCATTGTCCCTGCCATCAACTGTCACCATCATTGTCCCTGTCATCAACTGTTTCCGTCATTGTCCCTGCCATCAACTGTCTCCATCATAGTCCCTGTCATCAACTGTCTCCATCATAGTCCCTGTCATCAACTGTCTCCATCATAGTCCCTGTCATCAACTGTCTCCATCATAGTCCCTGTCATCAACTGTCTGCATCATTGTCCCTGTCATCAACTGTTTCCATCATTGTCCCTGTCATCAACTGTCTCCATCATTGTCCCTGCCATCAACTGTCTCCATCATAGTTCCTGTCATCAACT